CTGCTGATATTGAAGAGTAGTTTTCAATCGGATATTCCCCGGTTTAGACGCGCATTCGGTCGAGTGACGCGTTTAGACCAATCGCCCGCGAGCGAAAACATTTGATGGATTATAAAGATGTTAATGATATACATGAAAAATTACTCGTGCAAAAAAGTGTAACACCAGTGCAAATTACACATCGTAACTTTGGATTATGATTGGCTGAAAGACAATGGGAAATTTTTAAGCCAATGATATCACGTAAAATGATAGCCAAAATTTTGTGCGGAAACTTTGAAAAAATTTTTCCTCGAATGAAAAAAATGGCTTCAAGAAAGATCTTCCAGCACTTCCTCCCCGCGAACTTTTTCATGTTTATATTATTTTAGCTTTTTGAAAAACTCGCTCGTGTAAATTAATTCCAAATTGAACTCGAAACCGTATGATTACCTATACTTATAGTTGTTAAGACAAAAGAGGTTTGTTATTTGCACGCGAAAGTAACAAGTAAATTTGTATTTTGTGGCTTCCACACCAGTAAAAATAGCCTGTCGATGATTTTGCTGTGGGAATTAGGGCTTTTCCATCATTTTCTCCTGTTCTTAYTCTTTAGTTCTTTAGTCTTCTCTAGATATGAATGATCATTAAAGGAAACTGTATTTTTGGTGCAGTTGTTAGCAATAAATATCCACTCGGGAAAACCTGGGCAGCTGAATTTTAAATGTGTTTACTACCTAAACACCAATTTGCAAATTTGCCGAGTCTTGGGTATCCAATTACAGGTATCCAATTACGAAAAGTTCAAATTGGATACCTGTAATTTGACACCCACGTGATTGCGCGCCAATTACGTGACAAATAGGCGCGCGGACAACCAATCACGATCAAGAATTTTGTTATAGATATGATTCGTAATGGTAACAGGACTGAGTGGAGTCCAATTCAGTCTGTAATCATACGAGTGTGGCTTCTACACGAGTGAAAATAGCTTGTCAATGATTTTGCTGTGGGAATTAGGACTTTTCCATCATTTTTCCCTTTTCTTAGTCTTTCCAGGATATGAATGGTCATAAAAAGGAAACCGTTGTTTTCTTGCGGCGTTCCATTGCAGTTGTTAGCAATAGGTATCTACTCGGGAAAAGTGTGGGCAGCTGAATTTTAATTGTGTTTACTCCCCGGGGCTACCAAACACAGATTTGCAAATTTGCCGAATCCGCCCAAACATCTCACATATAAAGCGTCACTGACCTTCTCTTTCCTGAATTCCTCGCTGCTTCGAACA